TAGGGTCACTATGAGTCGCAAGCGACTCGACGGCACCTAACAACATATAACAACAGTCTGCTTAGGCTTATTCATGCAGAATAGTGGCAGTGTGAACATGTCATTCTTATCCTAAAATCTTTTTATGAGATTCGTCTTTCCATCCCTGATTTTTTTTTTGCATGCCATTTGCTTGGTTTCTTCCCTCCCCCAGCCCCCACGCCAGGCTTTGGTTTTTAGTCTGTTTTTCTCCTTGTTTCTTAGATGTGTGTCCTGTGGGCAACATAACATGGGTTGTTGTTTTGTGTTTTTTTTTTTTAAGATTATCTAATCTGCTAATCTTTTTATTGGTGCATTTAGTCCATTCACATTAAGGTAGTTATGGACAGGCCAGGTTTTATTGCTGCCATGATGTTGTGTGTCTCCACATTGTTTCCACTTTCCTTTGTTGTCTCTGTGAGAAGGACTTCTCTTAGTATTTCTTGTAGAGTTGGTCCTGTCTCCACAAATTCCTTAAGTTCTTTCTTTCCTGGAAATGATTTAATTTCTCCTTCACATTTGATGGGCGTGGTTTGCTGGGTACAGGATTTTTGGTTGGCAGATGTTTTATTTCAGCCTTCTGTCTATGCCACCTTATTTTCTTCTTTTTTTAATTAGGAATATATAATATTATTATGATTATTTTAAATAAAATTTAAATTGTGACTATAATGAATGTTTACTGAGAAGTTAGTTTTTTATTCATTTATTGTTGCACATTTTATCCCCTCTCCCTCCCCCCAGTTCACTTTTTTTTACAAAATATTCATTCATTGTTGCACAATTACCTACCTCTTCCCCTCCCCCTAGTTCTCTTTGCAATAATGTACCTCTTATTCTGGGCTGTTGTCATACGCATAATGCCTAATCATATATTCCTTTTAAACAGTTCTTTCCTTCATCTGTTCCAATACAATGTTCTTTATATATTTACTTTTATTCAATTTTGCTCCCAATACCCCATGTCAGACTGGCTTTATAACAGTGGTGCTATGCAGTATTTGTCCTTTTGTGACTGAGATATCTCACTCAGCATAATGTCCTCCAGGGTCCCCCATGTTGTGTAATATTTTACTAATTCATTATTTTCAATGCTGTATAATATTTCGTTGTATGGATACACCATAGTTTCTCTATCCATTTGTTTGTTGATGGGCACTTTGGTTGCATCCATCTCTGCTGTTGTAAATAATGTAGCAATAAGCATGGGTGTGCATAATATCTGTTTGGATGGTGGTTCTGGTTTCTTTAGGGTATATGGCGAGTAATGGCTTTGCTGAGTCAAACGGTATTTCTATTTCTAACTTTTTGAGAAAGCAACAAACCACCTTCTACAGTGTTTGCATCATTTTACACCCCCAAAAGCAGTAAATAAAGGTTTCCATGTCTCTAAAACCTTGCTAACATTTATTGTTTGCTGCTCTGTTGAACTTTGCTATTGTTACTAGAATGAGATGATATAATTGTTTTTATTTGCATCTCTCTGATAGCTAAAGACTTTGAAAATTTCTTCATGTGCTTGTTTGCCATCTGAATGTCTTCTTTAGTGAATTATCTATTCAAATCCTGTGCCCATTTTGCGTTTGGGTTGTTTACCTTTTTCTTGTTGAGATGCTGGAATGTTCTATAAATTTTATTTATTTTTTTTTTTTTGGCTTGTAAGAAAAGACATTTATTGTCTCAGTTCTAGACGCTAAAAGTAAAAACTCAGGGTGTGGGCAGGGCCATGTACCCTCCAAAGTTTCTAGAGGAAGATCCCGTCTTGTGTCTCCCAGCTTCTAACAACTCCAGACACCCTTTGGTCTGCAACTTCTTGTCACAGGGAGTTTTTCCTGTGAATCTGTTCTCTTTTGTAAGGGCCACACCCTGACTGAATTAGTCTAGTGGTAAGAAACTGAGCTGAAATTCCAAAGGC